TATGAATTTCACTTCAATATTGACAATAAGCTTTGCTTATGTCAATAAGCTCATGTACGCCCTCAGATGTTCCCCCACTTGGTCAAGTCAGTTAGAGCTTGACGAATTTGATAATTTACTCCGCAACACGACGGAATATGTTACAAACAATCAATTCAATAATGATTCATGGCTCCAAGCAACTCTTCCTGTAAACCTTGGCGGATTAGGGCTACGTTCGGCTTCTTCCTTAACTTTACCAGCGTTTCTGTCATCAGTCAATAGTGTTTCTGATCTTATCGATTCCATCCTTCCTTCCATATTTATCAATATCGAAGACCTTTTTTTTATTCTGAAGGTGAATCACTTTGGCATGCCGCAACTAATATTGCTCCTCCTACAGATAAAAAGAAAATACAAAGTGTATGGGACCGACCCCTTCTGAATATTGTAACTGATAAACTTTTGAAATCTACAAGTGTATACGATAAGGCTTGTCTGAAAGCAGCAATGATCAAGGAATCGGGTGCTTGGCTGAATGCTCTACCTATTGCATCTCTTGGAACACTATTAGACGATGAATCTTTCAGAATAGCAGTGGGACTTAGGATGGGTTCATCTATTTGTGTTTCTCATACTTGTGTTTGCGGTAGTATAGTTGATGAGAAAGGTACACATGATTTGAGTTGCAGGAGAAGTGCGTACATCTCGACATCACCAAGTGAACGACGTATTGAAATGAGCTATATTGTCAGCGGATGTTTCTGCAATTCTGGAACCCTTAGGTACCAGTTAAGATGATAGTAAACGACCAGATGGTATGTCTCCCATACCATGGAAATGAGGTAAACCTGTGATATGGGACTTCACTTGCGTTGACACCGTCACGGGTCCATCCAGCGGAAAGTTCCAAGTCTGCTGGAACTGCAGCATTGTCTGGCGAGATATTGAGAAGGAAAAATACCAAAATCTTGGTGACAACTATCTGTTTCATCCAGTAGCAGTTGAAACTTTTGGTGTTTATGGCCCGGAGTCTCTGTTATTCGTTCATGAACTCGGAAGGAGAATAGTCCAAGCAACGAAAGATCACCGTTCTACCTCTTTTTTATAGAAAGAATTAGTATTGCTATTCAACGTGGCAATGCTGCTTCAGTACTTGGAACTATTCCTCCTTCACATAATTTTGATGAGATCATGCATTGCCCTAATTTCAGTACGGAACTGAAACCTCTTCGAAACAAGCCGAGATATGTGGATATTCATCAGTCTCCTATCAAGGTTAATTCACATGTGATTGATTCACCTACTTCTTTTTCAGTGCGGTCAGTGGACTCAGGTCATTCTTGCCCCCCAAATATGAGTTGCAGTCCTCGTAGAACTGGTTCGCTTCCAGTGGAAGAGCTTCATGAAGCAAGAGCCGAATCGATCCCTCTACGAAACCCTTCTTCACTTGGAAGGATCGATCGCAGCTTGAGAAATGGTTCCTATGGAGATTCTGTGAAACATGTTCTTCCTTACGAATCAGTAGATAGTTGTCCTGAAAATCTAGAGAAGAAAATTGGATTGGATAATTTAGGAAACACTTGCTACATGAATAGCATTTCACAAGTGTTGTCCATGACGAAGAATTTCAAGAACGAAGTTTTAATGATGAACGAGAACGGGAATGTTTCCTACTCATTCATCAAAATCGAACACCTGTTCATGCAGCTGCAGTTTCGTGAGGAGGTATCATCTTTTTCTCCAACCGATTTCCTGGAGTCTTTGAAGTCCACTAGATACTCGTTAGGACAACAAGAGGATTGTTCCGAATTCTAGCGCTCTAGGCCGAAAACGGTTGGCTTCACAGAAAAATGCAAGGGACATTGTTTGTAGATAATCGTATGTGGAATAATTTTCATTATGACCTTTATTGATCTCCGAGCCATCGGTCGCGAGATATTCACCCTTATAACTTTTTTAGCCGGCACGATATCAATGTCGATTTCTCACATCTTCGTTAAAACGTCATAATGAAGGTGTATACCAAAATTCAGCTCAGTAGGATTTTTTCCGCAGATTGAAGTTTAAAAATATCTAAAATGACTCTATCATCGAGTGTGACACATAATGTCTTTTCCGGGTATTGTAGTTGTGGGATAGACACAAAAAATAGACGAAACTTTCGAAACAATCAATAAAATCAGTCCCAATTATTCCATGTAGATGTGCCTTCTGGAAGAAAACCCTGAGGAATGTTTTTCATTAACAAATAATAACTTGGAAATATCTCAACTATACATATATCACATGCTAGGGTTCTCCTTGCCTTTTCAATCTAGCGGGATCGCAGAAGTTATGCGACAGAACGTTGGAAAAATGGAAGAGCTCTCATGTATAGAAATTCTTGTCGAATACTCGATATGCAGTCTCTCGAAGGAACTTTCCGAGAGAAAAATCAGAGATCCTTTCCGGAATTCAAGAATTTTCTCTTTGTGCTCGGCAGATCCGAGAAATAAAACAGCATTTCTATGATATATTGACGCATCATTGAATCAGGAAAATTCTTTGGATATAACCGATGGGATTCTTTCAGGAAAACTATTGGTATTGAAACGCGCTGCCATGGAGAGTAGGGAAGTTTCAGGGACGATTCCAGGTGAAAATTATCGTTTGAAAATTTATTATTTTTTTTTCAATTTGATAGTGATTCACTCGGATTTTTGGAATTTCTTCCTGACGTTTTGCTGGCGCGAGTGGCTAGTTTCTTCAGAGGATTAACCATCATGGCTTGCTGTCCGATGACTAACTTTTAGGCTTCGTAAAGCGTATTTATGCCATGTCAGGTAATCAGTTGTATTGGTACCTGTATGTGTACCTGTACTTCTACCTGCACTTATTCCTGTACTTGTACCTGTACTTGAACCTGGAACATTAACAATCTTGCTGTCTGTTGTCATTCTGTTCGTTAGTCTCGAATTCCTCAAAATGGGGTTCTATATTCGATTGACGTTCACCTCTTCTTCTTTTCTGTTGAAATTCTCCGTGTGTTTGTGGATCTCTATTGCATCTCGTGCCAGTTGGCTATGGTATGCCTGGTTGGGGGCAATTAGTTCTGTGTTGTCAAACAGAATTATGTGGTCTCCTTCACTAAGTGCGTGTTCTGCCACAGCTGACTTTTCCACTTGGCCTAGTCTGCAGTTCCATTTATGCTCTTTCAGTTTTGTTCCCATAGATCGTTTGGTGGTTCCGATATATACCTTTCCACAAGTACACGGTATGCGATAGACCCCTGCTGCTGATAATGGGTCTCTTTTGTCTTTAGCCGACCTGAGGCTTTGTTGTATCTTCCTCGTGAGTTTGAAGACTGTCTCGATGTCGTGTTTATCCAATAGTTTTCCAATTCTGTCCGTGACCCTAGGGATAAACAGTAGATATGCACGTGCAACCATCTGATCCTTTTTCGCTTTTTGAACCATGGTGCTCTTCCTGATCTCGGAGGTACTGGGTCGCCTGTTAATCTTGGTTTACGAAAGCCATATTGATGATCGTTCAAGATGTTAAAGTCTTCCAAATATTTGAGGATATGGTGGTTTATATTTTTTTGATTGACGAGACGCTGTCGAAAAGTAATTTCCGGCATTGTGTATTCTAGTGTGGTGGTGGCTTTCCCAGAAAATGGACTGTGGAGTGAGACGCAAATTGTTTAGCTAGTAGATTTGCTTTGTCTATGGCTGTTGTTGCAATTGAACCATCCGCTTGTGTAAGTGGTGGAATTGTGGATTTTTGTAGGGTTCTGATTTACTGCTTTAGTTACCTACCAGATGGATTTAGACCCGTTTGTTTATATATGCCAGACTATCGACAATAATACAAAGAAAGCAGAATATTGAAAATATGTTTTTTAAACTTGCTATATATTAACTAAATAACGGAAACAAATTCGCACCCATACTGAACTAGAAGTAAAATGAATCAAAGTCGTCAGCCAAAACTGTTTTGATCGAAAAAACCGTTGCATGGCCATCGCTGAGGAATTATTGCATGGCAGCGATCCAGATTTGCTCAAAAGGGTCATCACTGGTGATGAATCATCAGTATATGGGTATAACATCGAAACTTAAGTCCAATCATCCCGATGAAATAACCCAGGAGGGCCAAGACCAAAAAAAGCACGCCAAGTTCGACCAAATTTCAAGATTTTGCTCACTGTTTTCTTCTATCACCGTGGCGTAGTGCCTGGAGAGTTTTTTCCACAAAGAAGAGTATTATTTTTGAGTTATGCGTCACTTGCTAGAAGTAATACGAAGAAAATATCCATTATTGTGGAAAAATAAAAGGCGTCTACATCAAGATAATGCATCGGCTCATTCGTTATTGCTTGTTTGTAATTTTTACAGAAACAACACCGTTCTCATGCCTCAGCCACTGTATTCACCAGATTTGGCCCCTTGCTACTTCTGTATGTTTCCAGGAGATGAAGGATATTAAAACTGAATCGTTGAGAGAGCTCAAAAACATGTCGAAAAAGGCATATCAGAACTGCTTCAAAATGTTGAAAAAGTTTTGGCATAAGTGTATTTTATCCCAGGAAAACTGATTTGAAGCCAACAAAATAGAAATTGGTAACTAAATGAATATTCTTGGAGAAAAATTAAACTTTGCATAATTTTTTTGAGCATACAGCGTATATAAATTTGGAAGGTGAATTAACTGCTTATCAGTCGCTAACTCATGAAACAGCCCCCGTATTTTTGTTTGAAAGTGATTGACAATGTTCCATGATGAATTTCACTAGTTCGGACTTCCATTGTCTACTACATAAAATGATTTGAAATTCCTGAAACAACTGAAAAAGAATAATTAAAAATGAATAGCTGAAAATAACAATTATATTAGGCAAANAAATCATTTTATGTAGTAGACAATGGAAGTCCGAACTAGTGAAAAAGCCCCCATATTTCTTATCAGTAACATTCAAAATAATGGTGAATTTTTGTTGTATCATTGAACATGCTGAATAATTCCAATTTTCCTTACAGGTTATCTTCTGGTCTGCAACAAACACAACTTTCCCAAACGATACCCTCAGCCCCACCAACGGGAACGCTTCAATCTGTTGGACCCGGCCAAACTGCCAATCTGGTGATGCCAGTGTTTCCTTTGGTTCGACCAGTACCGCAAGCGTCATCCTCACACTACTCTCCTTACTCGCCGTCCAGATTCAACATCGATAAAAGATGTCAGCACCGCTGCTCGTGGAAGTGTCTCAGTATCGGACTCATTCTGCTGGCTGTCGGACTCTCGGCCATGTTGGCATATTTCGCAGGTGAGAATACGAATTGAAAATCATCAAATCCGATAGATGAGGCTGTTTTCTAATACCTACACCAGAGGTCCATGACCTGTTCTTGATTTTGATAGAGAGGAATACTTCATTTTCCATTCTACTCTCTCGTTTATTATCACTTGGAAAAAACATTCTCTTTATGAGAGAGTGAAATGAGGAAAGCAAATCGAATGAAGATATTGGCAAATTTTCAATAACTTCCCGACCAATCTACAGGAAAAAATTATCATAACACTCAACCCCAATTTTCACTTTGAAGTTATGTAATATTCACATAGCAAACACATAAATGGACTGAAAATTATCGGCCCCAACTCATAGATGACGCTATTTTTATTGAATTCACCACTTTTTCAGTAAGTACTAACCTTCAAAAGGAAGCTGTTGAAAATTCATGATATTCCACCCATAAGTTTTTGAGTTATTGTGGTAAGAGTGAAACTACTTTTGTTATTTTCAAAACAATGGATCGACAACAACTTTCTGTTCAAATATTACACTGCATTTTTGTGGGAAAAGTACTGTTCTAGCGAATCAATAGCTTCACAGGTGTTATACGGGGTTAGGGAAGGTTAGGTCCAAAGTGAGTGGGTCTATTTGACCCTCCACACCAACCCGAAAGGGTTTATTGTAGCTCACACTCGGCTAAACAAACCCAGCTTCTTAACGAAGCCGATTTGTTTGTATGGTGAGTGGTCTTTCAGGTCAGATGGTATGAGTACGGCTCTGCCTGATTCGGTGCCCAGTTGGGCAGGCAAAAAGTATATGCTCAGCCGTTTCACCGTTAATGGGGTAGTCAGATAGTCAAGGTGCAAGATTCCCACTTTGATACCCGCGACAACCTTCCCATATGAGGGTTTTTGCACATCAGCTACACCTGACGATGCCATAGATTCACTCATGAAGGGCTTTTTTGCCTCTGGTTTTGGTTAATCATCACTTGAGCGCAAACGTTTGCTAACCTGCTCCACCTGAGACAGATTCTTCAAGAATTTGGTGCAAAGCGGTTTCATAAGGTACCCTACTCTTGAGTGGAACTCAGTCGTTTCATGACTGCGCCACCAAACCTTTTTCCTAGGTTCAGTTATTGGATCAGGAGTTGGAGGGTTGAGAAGCTCTCGCTCCTGATCTGAATTCATAGGGAAATCAGTTGGAATCGTAAGCTCGACATCAATCTCTTCTGTAGACTCACTCCTGATCCAAATTTACAGGGAGCTCTGTTGGAGTCGTAAGCTCAACATCCCACTTCTCTGTAGACTCAGCGTCAGAAGAAATGTTTGAGTTTACTCTGTCCGAAAAAGTCACACGAGTAGCTTGGGAAAGAAGGTCAATCACGACAGAGCCCCGCATTACCGTGACAAGGCGATGCTACGACGAGAGGGCGCCCGGCATCTCGAAGGTTCCGTAGAGACAGCTGATAGGCTCAGCGTCATTCATCCTCTCGGCACGGATACACACGCCTTAGGATTGAGCTATCGCTGGGATGCCATTCAGTTAGGGAATAACAGAACCACAAGTGATTCTGTCATTCCCGTATCCAGCGGGGCTACGTGGAAACAGGCATCCGATGGCCGGTTTGCTCAACCCCCATATCCCAAGCCAATGTACTCGCCAAAAACAGCATGCACAGTGGTTCAGGCAGTGAAAGATGAACAATGACAGCCAACCCGCCAGTGTGTTATACGCACTCCGCTTTATCAGAAACAACAATCAAAAGTAGGTTTGTTAACTTCAAACGTGGTCGTAGAGACACCGATGGTGTAGGCCGCAGCGGACGTCTAAATGAGGAAGTAACACTAGAAAATATAAAAAAAAATCAATGAAATCGTTTTCAATGATCGAAATATGTAGTTGAGTGAGTTAGCTGACATTGTAAAGATATCAGGAAAACGTGTTGGCTTCATACTGCATGAGCAATGGAGAAATTCCCTCTCAGAAAGTCACTTCCAATGTACAGGAGATTTCTATGAGCAATCAGACGGCGTGGCGATGGGAAATCCACCCAGCCAAGTGATAGCCAACTACTTCATGGAGAAATTTTAGAAGAAGGCAAGCAACGCTTTCGATTCCAAACCAACCAATTGGCTACGATACGTGGATGACACCTCCGTTATCTGTTGACGTGGTAGGGACAGATTGAATATATTTCTAGACCACATTAATGCTCAATACCCTAGCGTCAAGTTCACCATGGAGACTGAACAGGAAAAACGAATATCTTTTCTAGATGTACTCGTTGAAAGGCGTGGCAAACGACTGACACATAAAGTGTACTGAAAACCGACACATGGACAGATATCTGCATGCACTTTAGAACCACCTTCCAAGTCAGAAGTGGGAAATTATCAACACCATGATGAAACGTGCCAGTAGAATATGTGAATCAGAACATCTACAACAAGAATTGGAGCATCTTCAAGAGGCTTTGAGATCGAATGGAGACAGTGTAACCGAGATCAACAAGGCCATGAAACTGAAGACACCTGCAAGTCAAAATGGGTAGGAAACTCAAACGGTTGCAAGTGTATTTAGGGTTACAGAGAGCATCGAAAAAATCTCAGGGAAACGTAAAATAAAAACAGTGTCAAGCCCACCAGGAAAGAACAACAAAGCCTTAGATCTGCGAAAGACAAAAGAGATCAGCTGCGGAATCGTATACCATTCACCTGCGGAAAAGTTTATATCGGTCCAACCAGAATATCCATGAGTAAAAGGCTGAATGAACATCGGAGAAACTGTAGGTTAGGTCAAATAAACAAATCGGCAGTAGCAGAATACGCGCTTGGTGAAGGAGATCACACGATACTGTTTGAAGATGTGAAACTACTTGCTGCCGATCTTGGATACCATAGTCGGCTTGTACGAGAAGCCATAGAAATCCATAAACATACGGAAAAGTACAACAGAAAAGAGGAAGCAATAACGCCTAACCCGATTTGGAATACCATACTGAAAGATGCTAAGATGGCAGCAGTGCAACGCAATGTAACAGGTAATAACACTTCATCTGATAGCAACGCCTCAACAAGTAAATACAACCTACGAACTTGAAATCACCAGTCATCGGTGAATCATCAAGATGGATGAATCTCTGAAGAAGTCAGCCTTTCATGCTGGCGAAACGTTAGGATACAGTTCCAAACTACGATGGCCTTCAACCCTGAGTGAAGATTGTAGCACTGAATGAACTTCAATTGCCCTCACATCCATCGTATTCGCCAGATTTTACTACCAGTGACTACTGGATGTTCACAGACCAAATAAAAATGCCCACCGTTAAGAAATTTTGCTGAAATGGAGGGATTATTGATGAAACTGCGGGCTATTTCGAGGCAAAAGATGAATCGTTCTACAAAAGTAGTATTGAAATGTTAAAGCAGCGTTTAAATGATTGTGTCGCTCTCGATGGAGATAACGTTGATGAGTAAAGCCAATTTTGAACAAAAAAAAGGGTTTATTTTCTAAGGCTCGGAACTTTCCAGCCCAGGAGTTAAAAAATTCAACATAAATATTTGATGCTTAATTTGGTTCAGGATGTGAAAGACGTTGCGAACGACCAGATAACTATGGGCTCGTCCACGCAGCAGCCAACAGAAGGTAAGCAGGAATTGAAATGTACATAAAGCGTGGAGCAAAACGACCCAATCTACATAAATCCGTCAATAATGAGACTGTTAGGAATTGTGAAATAGGCCAACTTCGGGTTACATGGGGACATATGTTTGAGTGTGAACCACCTCTATTTTCAAAAATACATAAATAATTTGGAAAGTCTTTTAATCCATTATTGAAGCCTGTAAAATTTTTGACTTGACAACGATGAGCAATGTCAGAAAAGATCAAATAATCTACAAAGATTCAATACAATTCAGAGCTCAAAAGCATACCAGAGGGTTGAATAACTTTTTTCGAGATCAATTGTCCTAACACCAAACTGATATTTTTGCACTCGACGCAAGTTTCGCCAACAAAGTTAGCATCCTCAGGAGAAGAAAATTGATACCTAGTCTAGTCTGATTAATCCATATATACTGAAATTTGTTACCTGAGGTTGTATACCTGAAGTCCAATATGGAATTTCTCGGTAATTAACTACCTGCAAGTTCTTAGTAATTATTCTCTTCCTAACAGAAGATAAAAAAGCGGGCTAAACGAGATGGGTCCCTTATCGCCATTCATGCTGTTCTTACATTTTTCTTACATTTCTAGACTCTCACATGCATCGAGTAGCCTGGTGTCATGCACATGCTTAATAAGTTTCAGATTGTTTTCACCAATTCTGTGGTCCTTGTCTAGAGCATGTTGGGCGACACTGGATTTTTCTATCCTTCCGTATTTCATGTGTGCACAATGCTTCTTGAAGCGGGTTTTAATCGCTCGTTGGCTCTGGCCGATGTATTTGCTGTTGCAATCTTGACAACTGATTTCGTAAATCCCCGACCTTTCTGTGTTTTCTAGTGTATCTTCTGGATTACCAAGAAGCTGTTGCAATTTATAAGAAGTTTTATATGCAACTTTCATATTTACTTCATCAAATATTTGTTGAAGCCCTACCGTGTATTGGGCTTCATATGGGATTACTATAAACTTGTTATTACTCTCCTCTTTTTGAAAAGTCGAAGTGCTGTGGGCTTACACTCACCCTCCCTACTCACCCTCCCTACAGATACAGAGATACAGATGTATAACATTGTGGTACACGAATTAATTCGTAATAAATGGGAAATTTTTGATAGTGTACGGTGTACATTTACATGGCGGCTGGTAGCCGAACGGTTCGACGTGAGAGCTTTGATCACTCAGTCAATCGGCCGATGTGTGAGTCGATGGTTCAAACCCCAGGCCGTGTGATTACTAACCCGTGTTAGTAATCACACGTTAAAAGGTAAGACTTCGTTAATCCTTAGATTGCATAAGTTTCGACTCCTGAGGGCTGTCATTCGAAGGGGTGCAATAGCTGGTTAACGGAAAAAACATAT